GGGGGATTTTCTCTTCTGAGACCCTCTCAAGCCTTTGGATTGTATTCCAGCACTGAGAGCTGCTGGGGTGGGGGGGGGGGGCTAGCAAGGGCCCCACCCCCACTCCACCCCTCCCCTGCCACAATTTCTTTCCCATTCTCTCTTGGAGGTACTTGATAGACTAAAGACCACCTCCTGAGTATACCCACCCCCTTCCCCAGCCAGAGGATATTGTGGGGCCAGGGAGTCTTAAGTCTTCTCAAAGACAATAGGATTCACTTCAGGATGTAAGGCTGTTCTGGCTTCTTCTCTTTCCCCATTATGTCTTAGTTTCCCACAGTTTTGGAATTAGAAAGGGTGAATTATGAGGGTTCTACAGGGCTGTGTCTCTAACCTCCTTCTCTCCTCCCCTCCTCCCCACACACAGCACTATAAAGCTTCATCAAAGTCAAAGATGTGTGTGTGTGTGTGTGTGTGTGTCTGTGCACTCGAGGTATAATGACCCACCATGCAGGTCACAGAACAATAAATTGGAGGGATCACACCAGGAAGAAGAATGCTGATGCAAGTTTCTAAGAAGAGAAATCTGAAAAGAAGAAAGTGGCACTGAAAAAGGGAGCCTAGAAAGGAAGAATGGGCAGGGTTTGGAGAAGATAATGGAACATTTGGATGAAGTGAGGAATCTAGGCTTGTCAGAGCAGAGGGTTTGTCAAGAGAGACTTGCGACTGCTTCTGTAGGAATTTGCTTTACCCAAGCGGGAAATTTGGGGCTGTCCAGCGTGGGGTTATACCCTTCAGAGGCTCCCCTTGATTGAGAGCTAGTGTGACTCGGTCCCAAAAGGATGTTCTTATAAGAACATCCGTCTTGGTGTAGCAGCGCCCAGGGATAGAGTAGTAGACCGCAAGGTAGGTTTGTACGATAAAGTTGCCGGTTCAAACTCACCAGCCACTTCTTGGAAACCCTATACACTGTCGCTGTGAGTCGGAACCGACTAGACAGCATTTAACAGCAACAAGAGTCGTAAGAACGGGAGCCACCGACCCGGATGGCCCTGGGGGCTCAGTGTCTCAAGGGCGGGGCCCTATGTTCCTGGAGCCGCTGTTAGGGTGGCAGGGGCGGGCCAGGGCGGGTCCCGCGAGCTGGGGGGGCGGGTCGCGCGAGTTGGGGGCGGACCCAACGGAAGGCGGGTGACTTCTTCGGCGGGAGCGGGAAACACCCATTGCGCGCGGACCTCAGCCTGAGAGGATCCCATATCGAGCAGGTGCTACCGGGGTCTGGGGTCTAGGGTCCGGGGTCCAGGGTCTGGGGTCCGGGCTCTGCCAGGCGGATGGCGCCGTTTTCCTCTTGCCACGAGGCAGGGAGGCCGAGCCTGACAGCTAAGCGGCTGGGACACTCGGGTGGGGGCCCCTCGGCTTCTCCGCGCGGAGCTTGCAGAGCTGCGCAGCACGTGGCCGCTGGGAGGGGGACGGGAAGGAGGACCCTGCGGGCATGAGGACCCGAGAGTCGCGTGAGTGGCACGGCCTCTGGGCCTAAAGCCGGTTGTCTCTGCGTTGATCTCCGCCAGGGGCAGGCGATTGGATGGTTGACCGCCATCGATTTGTTCTTGGTGCTAGGGAAGGGCCACAACGCTGGTTGCTTTCAGCGGGGAAGGGGTTGCCAAATGCTGAAAGGAGGTCGCGGAGCTGTCGCTTTAACCCCCGCCTCTTTCTGACTGAATTTGTGTCCCTGAGCCGCCTCTTCCTGGGCGCGTCCTCATTTACTCCCAGAGAGAGGACCCTTCGTTCATTCAGAGGACAAGGACGCAATCCCGAATTTTCCTCCAGGGGGAGAGAGCAAGGCTGGTGCCATCCCTGGCGCTAACCTCTCCCCAAACCCATGGCTGCCCCTTTGTCCACTCCTCTTGGAAACCACCAGACCCTCTTGTTTGTCCACTACCGTGTTGTCTTCCTGGGCTCTCCACAAAAGAGACAGAGAGAGTATGTATGTGTGTAATGGGGGGGCGTGCCTTACAACTGACACGCATGTCAGACTGATGACACTGACCCCCACCATATTTTTCTTCCTCAGAGCAGAGTTCCCCCACCTCCCAATCTACAGGGATGTTACTGTTATTAAGTGTGGTTCCAGTTGGTTCTGACTCATAACAGTCCTGTATAGGATTTCTGAGAAGCAGCTGGTGGGTTTGAACTGCCATCCTTGTGGTTCACAGTTCAGTGCTGATCCTACAGCACCACACCAGGAGTCCAATCTATAGGGATAGCCAGAAGTGAGTTTTATACCTCTCTTCCTATGCCAGAAACAGCTGAAAATAAGCTGCACAACTAGCTGTGTGACCTTAGGCAAATGACTCAACCTCTCTGAACCTCAGCTGCTTCTGTTTAGTGGAAACAATCTAGTTGCTGGGTAGTTGTGAGGGAAGATCTGCAGTTAGTCGGTAGACTGGCCCCATAGATGATAACCCCTATGGAATCCTAGTGAAGGGAGAGTTTGATGCTATGGCAAGGGTGTTTCTAGAAACCAGGTTGCATGAAGGGTTTGGAGAAGGTTGAGAGATGCTCAGTTTCATGGCTGCATTCAGAGCCACATTTCGGCAGGTCGTGGCATGACTGGAGGGACACCAGAATCTCTGAGCTGGTATCCTATACCTGCTCAATGCTAAACAAAGGCAGACAAGAAAAAACACCAGGAACTGGTCTGGAATGTCAGAGGAGAGGGAAGGAGCTGCCTTGGAAGTTGAATTGTGCCCAGGACTAGTTGAGACTGCTCAGAACAGAGATAGATTTTTATTTATCTAACAAGGGTATAGATGTTTTTTTTCAGTGGGGTTGTTGTTGTTAAGTGCCATCAAGTCAGTTCTGACCCATAGCAACCCTGTATAGCGTTTCCGAGGAGCAGCTGGTGAGCTTGAAGCAGTTCAAACAGCTTTGCAGTCTGGTGCATTAACCCATAGCACCACACCAGGACTCCTTCAGTGGGGTGGTCAGTAGTAAATATTTCTCTAATCCAAGCTGAATTTGACTGAGGGGAAGGAGAGACACTTATCCCCAGCTCTGGTAGTGTGATGATTACGAGTCTGGCTGCTAACCTCAAGGTCAGCAGTTTGAAACTAGCAGCAGTTCCATTGGAGAAAGATAAGTCTGTCTGCTCTCATAAAGATTTACACCCTCAGAAATCCTATTCAGAGTCGCTAGGAGATGGAATTGACTATATGCAGCACACTACCACCACTCTCCCTGTTTGAACTTTGTACCTGCTATTAACTCAGGAACCCTGCCTCATGGTGATGGGGTAGGGGTAGACAGGTGGTTACCCACCTAGGTATAGCATGCTGAGGTAAGAAACTTGCTGTTCCCCTCCTTGCTACATAATAGAAAATTGAACACATCTAAGCCTTTTCCCGCCTACCCTCCCCCCACCCCCCCACAGAGCCCTTTTGTCCCCACCACTCTAGAAAAGGTCAATACTATTGTTCAGTATTTACTCTGTCCTCAATATCTAGCTGGCATGCAAGTCAATAATTAATGACAGGATGGATCCCTCCGGAGGTGTGTGGCTCTGCTCCTGCTTCCCTGCGGACTGAGGAAGGCCTGTAGTTTGCCAGAGAATGAGTTGGGAAAGCCCCATGAGGGTCTCAGGGTCTCCAGCAGAATCTCACTGTCTCAGGCTAAAGCCTGGAAACGGTGGTACTGAGGCCTGCTACAGTTCCGCTGAGTGTCTTTGATCTGGTCTCTTAACTACCCAGCTACAGGGAGGGCTGCATGAGGCTTCTCAGAATGGCCCTGCTTCCCACCTCAACCAGGGTGGAGGGCTTCTCTCCTAATATGCCTTGTGCTACCCTCTTAATTCCGGACCCTCCTCCAGGAGCCCAGGGACAAGAACTGAAGACTCAGCCTGAACTAGGATCACCTCCTGGGTCCTGCCCTGGCCCCCTCTGCTCCAACCCTTCTGCTGACGATAGGCATCTGGTGAGTGCTTGGCCCGGCTGGGGAGTGCCTAGAAAGCCACCCAAAGCAGCATGACTTGGTCCTAGAGCTGAGCCTGCATGTGGGGGCTGGACCAGCACAGGCCCGCCTGGCCTACCGAGCCTTTCAGTGAAAAAGTTGTTTAATCAGCTGGTGCCAGGATGCCTCCCACTACAAGAGGGGACAGGAGAGGGACATTGCTGGCAGAAGCTGAAAGCTTTGGGACTCCAATCAGACCTGTGTCTCCCATCCCTCTAATCTTCCCTTCAAGCCCCCGCCCCTCCCTCAGAAAGGGGAAGAGGACAGGGGCCTGAGATTTGAGTGAAAGAGGAACTGGGGATGGGGGGTTGGCTCTTGGGGCAGGGCTAGGGCCAGGCTAGCCTATAAGAAGGTCCAGGCAAGGTTATAGGAAGGCTTGGGTCCCCACATCTATTGTGAAGTATTTTCCTGGGAAACTCTTAACTAGGAAGCCTTGGAGCAATGGCTGGAAAAGAAGCTTCAGGTGCTGCCAACAGAGAGGCTGGGGGGCCGGGGGGGTTCCTCCGGGAAGGGACCAGCTCTTCATAGCCTACCTTAGCCATGGACCCAGGGCACCCCAGGAGGAGGGACTGGGAGAGCCTCCCTCTGGGCTGACGCCACTTGGTGGATCTGTTGGCTTGGTGCTCTCCTTGTCCTCCCCTTTGCTCTCTCTGGGCTGTCTGCTTCACTCTGATTGTCTGCCTCCTCCTACCACTCCTTTCAGTATCTCCATTGTCAGTGACCCCTCTCATCTTTGCTGCCTTTGACTGTATTTCCCTTCTTCTCAATCATTCTTCCTCCTCCTTCCCCTCCTGCTTCCCAGTTCCAAACTGCTGAGCTGCTGGATAAAAATAGCAGTGGCAGTGGTAAAGCCAGGAGCTAGGTAGAGCCTGCTGGGCCAAGAGGCCAGGAAGCAGAGCCTGGGGAGCAGGGCCAGAGGGCTCCTTGCCCACTCTGCCCAGAGTCAGCCATCTGTGGGAAGCAGAGTTGAGACAAGGGCCTCTTACTGCTTCTGCCTGCAGCAAGCCTCAGCAGGAGGGACCTCACCACCAGGTGACACCAAGACCACTGTAACCATGACAACCAGCCACCAGCCTCAGGACAGGTACCTGGGGGCTAAGGAGGGTGGGGGTGGGGTGGAAATGGATCTCCAAGGCACTGGATGGAATCTGGAATTGCCACTGCTGGCTGGCCTTCTGACCAGTTAGCTGTGAGTCAGGTCTGGACAGTGGTGGGGGTTGTTTGTGCTTTGGCTGGGTGTCTGGGGAAGGCCAAGGTGGGTGGGTGGGCTGTAGTCCCTCCCTGGCCTGTCAGTATTTCCGCTGTTGCTCTCTAGCCTAGCCAGCAACTGCCAGCTCCTTCCGCCACCACTGTGGTAGCTATTTGGCAGCTTCCCTCATTCCCAAGCACATCTGGCTGAACTGCCCTGTCCTTCAGGGCTGCCCAGCGCCTCCACCTTGGATGACCTGTCCCACCAAGTCCCTTGATCTGACCTTCCTTGCCTTCCCCCTCCCCCACCTCTGGAACCTGTGTGCTTCTTCAAGTTAGACCCATGGCTGTGATTGCGCAAGCGTATTTTGAGGGAGAGGCTGGAGCTGGATTCCAGTTCTACAGGGAGTCAGGGGTCAAAGAAGTTGAGAAGTGAGGCCTGGAATCTGAAAGATTTTCCAGGTGCAAGGTTCTGTCCCTCCCTCAGTTCAGCGTTCCCCATCCCATTACACCTCCCCTGGCCATCCTGACTCCCTCCTGTACCAGAGGGTACAGAATTAGGTCCACAAGACTGTGGGGACCTTGGGCACTGAGCTTCATCCCTCGGGACTCTTCCTCCATCTGTACCAGTGCGGGGGAAATAGCTACTTCACAGGGGCTTTTTGGGGGAGGGGGAGGACTTAAGGAGGCATAATAAGTGCATATGGAGTTCTGGTGTGGTATTACAGGACCAGTACTAAACTGTTAACCATAACATCAGCAGTTCAAACCCACCAGCTGCTCCTCACTCCTATACAGCAGGGGTGGGGAACGTCCGGCCCGTGGGCCACAGAAGGCCCTCGAAATCATTTGGTCTGGTCCTGCCCAGGCAACCACAGTTCCAGCCATCAAATTAGGAGTGTTAATTAAACATTTGACCAAATATAGCAGGCTAATTTCTAAGTTGATAATTTTGGATGGCCCGTGGATGATGTTATAAATTTTGGCAGAAAAACGATTCCTCATCCCTGCTATACAGGGTCATTATGAGTCCAAACTAACTCGATGGCACTTAACAATACCGTGAGTACATGGCCCTTGTTAGATCCCTGTTTTCCTTCATTCCTGCCTGCAACCACTGCAGCTTCAACATTTCCTAAACCCATTTTCCTTCCCATCTCCATTTACCTTGGCCTATGTACCAAGCCTGTTGTTAAGTGCCGTTGAGTCAGTTCCAACTCATAGCGACCCTGTATTGGGTTTCTGAGGAGCATCTGGTGGGTTTGAACTGCCTATAGCGCCTTGATTCAAGATGGGGACTCTCAGAAGGACTTCAGGGGCTCAAGTTGCAATGGCTCAGACCTGCTCACTAGGGTGTTTACCCAGGCTCTCCCTGTGTGAGGCCTGCCTACGGTCTAGACCTTGCAACTCTGGCCTCACAGCCCTGAACTGAGTGAGTCCCTGTCTTCACAGGGGTAGGCTGTGGGCAGGGGACAGCCAGCATGTCTGAGAATCACAGTGGGAGAGGCCGGGGCTGCTAAGCTTGCAAACAAGGCTTGTCCCTGACATGGCCTTGACGTGTAGGACTTGGGGCAGTGCCCTGGTCAAAGCTGGGACGGCCCTTATTTATACTGTGGGGCCCAAATGACCTGGCCTGCCATACGTGGTATGACCTACAAAGCCGGTTCTGTCTAGGCCAGGAAAAAACAACTCCTTCATTTCCCAGTTCACCCTGAGGCACCCACCTGCCTGCCTGCCCACTAGGTCTGGAATCGGCTGGGAGTTTCTTGACCTAAGAGTCCTGTGTGGGGAGCTACAGAGTCCCTGTACAGTAACAATAATCATGTCCAACTTCTCTGGTGAGGGTGAAAGAGGCATTTGCTGTTTGCTGTCTCCCTTGCCCTCCCACCCCCAGTCCTTCAGCAGGATTTCCAAAACCAACCCAAATGTGGGGGTTACTGTGGTTCCTGGCCTGCATCGTCCCGAGAGTCTTCCAGGGCTGGGAACCAAGGTCCATTCAGCCATGTGTCCCTGACTTCAGTCCTACTCCAGTCTTGGCCTGTGCCCCTTTCCCTCTCCCCTCGCCACCACTCCTCCCAAATAAACTTTGGAGGACCTGTTGGAGGACCATACACACAAACATAGAGTTGTTCGGGGACAGCTGGAGAGAGACAAGGTCAGGGAGAGGGGTGGGATGGGAGTCATGTCGGCCCCCTTTTCTTCTCCCATGCCCAGGTACAAAGCTGTCTGGCTTATCTTCTTCATGCTGGGTCTGGGGACGCTCCTCCCCTGGAACTTTTTCATGACAGCCACTTTGGTGAGGCTGGGGGCCTGAGAGGGAATGACCACTGGGTGGGCAGGGCCTGTGTCTTTCCCTGAGGACCCGGGGTCAGAGGTTCCAAAATTCCTCTCCACCCCCACCCCTGCCCCATCCCAGTATTTCACAGATCGCCTGGACAAGTCTCAAAATGTGTCCTTGGTCACTGCTATGCTGGACATCCACGCCTCCGCCGCCCCCACAATGCTCTCGCCTGAGCGCGGTTACCTCAGTGCCATCTTCAACAACGTCATGACCCTGTGTGCCATGCTCCCCCTCCTGCTCTTCACCTGTCTCAACTCCTTCCTGCATCAGAGGTGAGGCCCACCTGACCCCTCCCTACCAACTTTTTTTTTTTTTTTTTTTCCACTTTTTATTGTAATTTGAGTGCAAGTTTACAGAGGAAATTGCTTTTCCATTGAACTGTTCATACACATTTTGTTTTGTGCCAGTGATTGCGATCCGCACAACCTAGCAGCATGCTTCTTAGTTCTTGTGTTTACCCTTCCCAGAGGTCCTTCTTTCTTCGCCATTCCTGTCTTCTGAGCTTTATCCCTGGGCAAATACTGCTGCTCTTTTGATCTTGTGTGGTTGACTGTTCTAAGGAATGGATACCTCTCTGTTGTTGTGTACCTTATTTATGGTGGCTGTGTGCCGTGGAATTGGTTCTGACTCATAGCAACCCTGTACAGGGTTTCCGAGGCTGTAAATCTTTCCGGGAGCAGAAAGCTTCATCTTTCTCCTGCAGAACAGCTGGTAGTTTCAAACTGCTGACCTTGTGGTTCACAACCCATTTCGTAACCACCACGCTACTAGAGGTCCTTCTATGCCTTATAGGCCTGTTTATTATTTAACTAAAAGTTGGGCCACAGGGGTGACTGAGGGCCTAGTCTCGGGAGGTTCCACTAGTGCCTGTGAGGTTAATGGGTCTGATCTTTTGTATGGTAATTGAGTTTTGTTCCACAGTGTTCTCCCACTCTACCCAGGACCCTCCATTGTGATCCGTTACACAGCAGGTCTGACATGGTAGCTGGGCATCATCTAGTTCTTTCCATCTGGGTTGTGGAGGCTGAGGTTGGCGAAGTCCCTTAGTCCTTTGCACTAATTGTTCCCATGCTTTGACTTTCTTCCCTGTTCTTTGCTCTGAATGGAGAGAGACCAATAGTTGCACTGTAGATGGTCACACACCAACTTTTCAGACCCCTGTCAGGACTCACTAGAATAGGATGGAGAATGCAGTCTGGGTGGGCCTCGCTGCCTCCTGAAAGTCTGGTTTTACCACCCCTTTCCTGGGCAGGATCCCCCAGTCCATACGGATCCTGGGAAGCCTGATGGCCATCCTGCTGGTGTTCATGGTCACTGCCATCCTGGTGAAGGTGAAGATGGATGCACTGCCCTTTTTCGTTATCACCATGATCAAGATCATGCTCATTAATTGTAAGTTGGGACTGGGAGGGGGGCCTGCGGGGCAGAGTCTTCCCCACATAACACCTTCAGACCATTCCTTCAAACCCAGGGTCAGCCCAAGAGAAGCCCCATTCTTCTCCCAGGAGGGACTGGGTGCCATGGGCAGCTAGGATGCAGAGGCCTGAGCGAATGTGGACCAGGGTTGGGAATGGGAGTAGACAGAAGAGGAGCTTAGTGTCAAGACCCACTGGGAATAAAACAAGAAAAACAGAGACCTGTTCTCCATAAGCAACCAGTTGTTTGCAAGTCAACTCTGACTCATGGTACCAAAGGTTAATGTGTTTGACTGCTAAACAGAAGAGGAGAGATTTGAGTCCACCCGGAGGTGCTTCCAAAGAAAGCCTTTCAGTCTAGTTCCAAAAATCAGCCACAGGAAGCACAGTTCTACTCGGACACACATAGACATCATGACTTGGAGATGACTTGATGGCACTGGTGTGGTTTTCCCATGAGCCCCCAACCCCAGCCCTAGTGGAAGTGAGTCCTGCCCTGCACCCTTTCCCCCACTGATGCTCACCCTGTTCCCCCCCTGCAGCGTTCGGTGCCATCCTGCAGGGAAGCTTGTTCGGCCTGGCTGGCCTCTTGCCTGCTAGCTACACAACCCCCATCATGAGCGGCCAGGGTTTGGCGGGCTTCTTCGCATCCATAGCCATGATCTGTGCCATTACCAGTAAGTCCGATCACCCTGGGTTTTGTGAAGAAGAGGGTGGGACCTGTCTCTAATCACTAGCACCTCCACCAACTCCCTCCTCTCCAGGTGGCTCGGAGCTGTCAGAAAGTGCCTTTGGCTACTTTATCACCGCCTGTGCAGTCATAGTTCTGACCATCATCTGTTACCTGGGTCTGCCCCGGCTGGTGAGCAATGCAGGAGGCTGGGGCTCCAGACCACAAGGGTGTTGAGGTTGAAACCTAGGGGAGATCCTACCTCTGAATCTATGTACCCTGCCTCTCCTACTTGATAGGAATTCTACCGCTACTACCAGCAGCTCAAGATCGAAGGGTCTGGGGAACAGGAGACCAAGTTGGACCTCATTAGTAAAGGTCTGAGTAGCCTGGGTAACCTGGGGACAGCATGAGCAAAGATGACAAGAATGAATACATGTATTTGCGGGCAGTGAACAGAGTGCAGAGGGACTTGGGTCCGGGATCAATGGGAAATAAGGGCTGGAAAAGATAAAATGGGAGAGATTTGGATTAAAGGTGATCAAGTTCTTAGGAATGTAACATGGCCTGAGGGACTTTGGGAGTTAGAGGGGAGGCTTAGGCTGGACATTAGTGGGGGACTATGAACTAGTTAGGGCATGCATGCTCCCAACCAACCTCAGCCCTTTTGGGGGAACATTGTCTCATTTCATCTCTCCCCATACTTACGGATCCCTCTTCAACTTCTCATCCCCCGCAGGAGAAATGCCAAGAGCAGGCAAAGAGGAGCCCGGGATCCCAGCCCCAAACTCTCAGTCCACCGCAACTATCCCCTCCATCAAGGCCATCCTCAAAAATGTACGTGCAGCCAGAGTGTCTTGCCCTCTCCTCTTCAGCCTCTTCCTTTCCGTCCTCGGCTCCCACCCCCCAACTCCTCCCTTTCTGACCTGAGACTTGGATCCACTTTCATACCGTGTGGGTGGAAGTTCTTTTCTGTAAGACGATGATGAAAACTCAGGCCTGGGTGAATTTCTTGCCCGTTTCTCTTCAGATTTCGGTCCTGGCTTTCTCCGTCTGCTTCATCTTCACGATCACCATTGGAATATTTCCCGCTGTGACCTCTGAGGTCAAGTCCAGCATTGGGGACAACAGTGCCTGGGGTAAGGGTGCCATGGGTTCTCAAGGTGGGAATGGGGACCTAGAGTGGGACTGGGATTTGGGGAGAGAGGGAACCTGGGCTGCTGTCTCCCCAGCTATACTGTCCTAGGTCTCTCTGCCCTTTCCTGTACTGGAATCATCTTCCCCAATTTATACCTGGGGTAACTGAGATCCAGTGAAGGTCAAGACCGGATAACTACCCTCTAATCCCCTCTGCCTTGTCTAGGAAGCTACTTCATCCCTGTGTCCTGTTTCTTGATTTTCAATATCTTTGACTGGCTGGGCCGGAGTCTCACAGCCATAGTCACATGGGTAAGTGGAAGCAGGGGGCCAGGCCCCTGTGGGAGGGAGGAGCCTACCCTTGAGACCCAGAAAGGGAACCTGAGAAGGCATAGTGGTAAGAGGACTGTGCTTCTTTTTTGTTTTTTGATTGAGACATAATTTACATCTAGCAAGAGATACAAACCTAAACTGTGAAGTTGGACATGCCATGCCCACACCCTCCTTTATAATCACCACCCAGGTCCAGATGTAGATAGAATGGTGCCAGCACCTCAGAAGACTCCACTCTGATCCCTCTCAATCAGCACCCCCTAAGGGTACAGGCTTTGAGGTTTCCATTCAGATCCTGAGGGTCCCTGAGGGTCTGGGTATGCCCTCGGGGCAGGTCTGGACTAAGCTATTGCCCTGGCTCCTACAGCCTGGCAAGGACAGCCACTGGCTGCTGAGCCTGGTGGTGGCCCGGCTGGTGTTCGTGCCTCTGCTGCTACTGTGCAATGTGAAGCCTAGAAGGTATCTGCCTGTGGTCTTTGAGCACGATGCCTGGTTCATCCTCTTCATGGCCGCCTTCGCCTTCTCCAATGGCTACCTCGCCAGCCTCTGCATGTGCTTTGGGCCCAGGTGAGCAAGGCCCCATGGGGACCTTAGGTAGGGCCCGTGGGGGACACTCAATAAAGGAAGAGGCCCAAAGGAGACTCTGATCCTGAAGCTTAGGGTTCCCAGATTGATATAGGAGACCTATGGGGAGAGACATGGAGGCTGGAAAGGGACAGAGTCCCCAGGCTTAGGTAGAGATGTGGGAGGCGGGGGGCTCTCAGGATGAGGTGGAAGACAGTCCCAGGATGCGTCCTGAAAAAAAGAAGCCAGGTCAGGGTTAAGGATGTCGGGTGGGTTCGTCAACTGAGTTAGTCCCACGCCCCTACTGTGACTGGCACAGGAGGCTGTCCTGAGGTGGCCCTGTCTTCTCTCCCTCAGGAAAGTGAAGCCAGCTGAGGCAGAGACCGCGGGAGCCATCATGGCCTTCTTCCTGTGTCTGGGCTTGGCACTGGGGGCTGTCTTCTCCTTCCTGCTCCGGGCAATTGTGTGACTGTGGGTGGGCAGAAGGACCACATTGCTGCCTGCCTCCACACATCTTTCTTCTTGCGGGGATGGGCAGGCATGGTGTGGGGCTTTCTCTTCCATCAGACCTCTGCTATTTCGCTGCTTGTACTGGGCCCTGGGCAACCATGCCCAGGGGAGGGAGCCTTTGTAGGTGGACAGTGGGAGCCACTGTGGGGTTAAGGGTCAAAGTCAGAGGAGGACAGGCAGAGTAGAGTCTCTGCATCTGCCAAGCCTCCCCTCACTGCACTTGGTTTGAACAGGACCCTAGAGGCTCCTGATCTCAGAGTTGAGTGAATTGTATATGTGTGTGCCTGTCTGTCCGCCTACCCTGGTACAAGGGGTGGCTACGAACCAGGACTGACCGTTATATGGTCTGATCTGATTATCTTCCCTTCTCCCCATGTACATTTTCCTCGGTGTACCTCCCCCCCACTCCTTATCCCTAATTCCTACCCATCATACCCCCTGTACAAACTGCCATTATACTGCCCTTTTTTATACTCAACAGAAGCCAGGTGCCTTCAGAGCCTCGGTGATTAAATAAACCTGTTTTTTCTTTTTGCCTCCATGGCTCCTGTTATCCTCCAGCCATGGCTTCCTGCCCTAAAGAAGGCAGAGCTGGCAGCCTCAATCTGGGGGGAAGAGCATGGCCCAGCTGGACCTCTGCCAGGGCTGGGCCTGAGTCCAAGGGGAGGAAGCGCTCTTGACCTGAGAGGGACTGTAGTGCCCCCTACTGGAGCCGTAGGGAGAGACAGACCTGGAGCCAGGACACTGACTGTTAGCCCAGACAAAAGCCAAGTTTTTCTTTGCCATTTCATTCCTTTCTTCCTGGGGATAGGGATAGTGCTCTCGTCTTTCCTTTGTCTTCACTGGTTTCTGTCTTCAGCCCCAGAAATGAGCTCTCCAGCACTGGTCAGAGAGCTTACCCCTACCCCCCACCTCATCTCCTGGCAGCACTCCCTCACCAACAGACAGGAAGAGGCTGAGGCCCAAGGGCTCTTCCCTACCTGGCACCCTGCCCTGACACCAAAGCTCAGCCTGCCTGGGGAACAAGAGGCCTATGTGTCCTGCTCTGTAACAAAGTCCTCTCCATCTTATCCCAGACTCTAGCTTAGGGAGGAGTGGGTTCCTCTGGGGCTTGAGTATCTCAGGGTTGGAGGCCATACTTCTCAAAAAAGATGTCTTGTCTGGAGTGCAGCTCTGTCCATGGGGTCCCAGCCTCACTGACCTGGGTCTTGGGTGCTGTCTCAGCTACCTCCGCAGAGCTCAGTCAGCCAGCAGCTTGCAGCTACAGAACTTCATTTCTCACAGGAGTTTCATCTAATTGAAGGTTTCAGGCCTCATTAAGGGCTGTTAGCCCATTTTTAAGGCTCTTTGATGAGCTCTGAAACCCTAATTGGGTAGTTAAGTATCTCATTGTATTAGGAACTGAAGTCTATGTAGTAATTTGTCAAACCACCATATGTATCTGAGGTTGGTGGAAAATAAGATTATTCCTTTCCTTTTAAGTGATCTCCTTCATAATGAGGGGCATATTCTCCAGTTATGGAAGGTCCTTTGGCTGTAAGAGACAAGCTGGAGCCTTCTGTGCCCTCTGCTCCCTGACTTCCCCATTTCATCCTGCACCTGGGAGCCCTGTTCCTTTCTCTCAGGACCAACAGGAACACTGTTCTCTGGATGCTTTCTTGAGTCAGGCTACCTTCTGCCTGGCCTCTTACTATTTCCTCCCTCCCTGGTGTAAAAATGGTATGGCAGAGATGCTTCTTTTTTAACTTTATGATAGGGCAGAATCACCATCAGCATGAGCCCAAGACTGATTCCTATGAGGCGGAGGTCAGCCGTGCCTCCTCTCCAACCTTTTCATCAATTCTGACACCTACTGTCTCTCTCACTGCACTCTACTCCTCAGCTGGGTTCAATAATTCGTTGCACTGTCCACACCGAACTCAACAGATAATACCCATGATTCAGGAGCTTATTAGGAAAGTACCAGAACTCAGAATCAAAATCAACTTTGAAGTAACAGGAACAACTCAGAATACGGTTCTTAATCAGTACAAGTTCTTGCCCTCTCACTGGGCCCTGCTGGGGACCTTTGCAGGCAAGTGTTACAACTCTTAGAATCATGGGTCAGTACACCCCACCCGCAGCCATCTAATGCCACGTTAGTAAGGTTTGGAGACAAGATTATTGTTGAAATTGGGTGAAGGTTTACAGAGCAGATCATCGGTTTTACATGTGATAAATCACACACACTTGGCTTCATCTCTGTTGTATTCCCCTCAGTGTAGCATCATATCACACTTCCTTGCTGTGTTTGCTTCCATTCCTCCTTTCCCAACCTTCTGAACTTTATCCTTGGGTAAATGCCCTTTTGATCTCGAATAATTGACCATTCTATGGTCTGTATGCCTCACTATTGTTAAATTGTGCTCACTAGGCCACAAGGTCGGTTTGGACCACAGTGTCAGCAGTTCAAACCTACCAGCTACTCCTTGGAAACCCTATACAGGGTCGCTGTGAGCCAGAATTGACTTGTTGGCACTTAATAACAATATACCTTATTGTTTGCTTGAAGATTGGGTCATGGGGGTGAGTTCAGTTCCAAATTTGTAGGGCCAGAGTCTTGAAGTTCCACCAGTCTATCTGACCAGCAAGCCTCGTCTTTTTTATGATTTTGAATTCTGTTTCACATTTTCTCCCACTTTATCAAAGACCTTCTAATTTGATTCCTTTCAGAACAGTTGTACTGATGGGCAAGCACTATCTAGTTCTGGTGTCAGGGATGTGGAGACTGATGCTCATGTGATTCGTTAGTCTTGAACTAACCATTACCATACATCTTTGATTTTCATCACTTTCTTCAGACAGGGAGAGACCAAAAGTTGTACCTTACATGGCCATTCACAAGCTTTAAAGAGCCCAGTCACTACACACCACGGTAGGATGGAGACTATTGTCTTTGTAGACTGTTATGCCAAATGATCATGGTGTCCTCTGAGTCCCCAGGCTCAGTGACTCATTTCCTCATGGTGTAACTTTGCCCCTACTACGGAATCCTGGTGTGGCACTGCAGGATAATGCACTAGACCGCAAGGTTAGTTTAAACTCCAAGGTCGGCAGTTCAAACTTCACCACCCACTCTTGGGAAACCCTTTACAGTATTACTGAGTTGGAATGGCACCTAACAACAATGCTCTACCACATTCATGAATATATTTGCAGCAGAGGTAAATATCCAGGTACAAATATCCTCTATCAAACATATATATATATATATACAGGTACGTATATTCCCAGACTCTCCCACACCCATTCAGTTTTCTATCCTTGTATCTAACCATAGATCACTATTATTGCAAAATTGTATATATTAAAGTATAAGATACAGTATATCTTACAGTATTACAGAATGCTGTTATCTTTAGCTTGCATTCTGTTGTCAACATTTTTTTTGCCACTATCATTCTTGGAGTCCTGCTGTGGGTTAATGTGTCAGATTGCAAAGCTATTTGAAGTACAAAGTCGGCGGTTCAAGCTCATCAGCTGCTCTTTGGAAACCCTATACAGGGTCACTATGGGTTAGAACTGACTCGACAGCACTTAACAACAGCAACAATCATTCTTGGAGTCCCAGTATGGTGCTATAGGATGAGCACTGTACCAAAAGGTCAGTTTGAAGCACAAGGTTGGTGGTTCAAACCCACCAGCTGCTCCTCAGAAATCCTATATAGGATGGCTGTGAGTCAGAAATGCCTTGATGGCACTTAACAGCACTCTTGCTACTACTGTTGCCACCATGTCACTGTCTTTTGTTAGAACTCCTCAGGATGGCAAAATGATCCATTCCTCTCATTAGGGTTTCATAGTCCTTATTTGAATGGTCTCACTCCCTCATAAGGGTACCTACACACAAGCTATCCAATCTTGGTGGGCTATACCATCTCATTTGCATAATCCCACCCAGTCATTTGGTGGGAACCCTAGTGTAGCGCTATAGAATAAGCACTGGACCCCACGGTTGTTTGAACCACAAGGTTGGCAGTTCAAACTCACCAGCTGCTCCTTAGAAACACTATACAGGGTTGTTTTGAGTCAGAACCATCTTGATGGTACTTAACAACAAAAAGACTAGCTAAAAGGAGTCTTAGTGTGGTGCAGTGAGTTAATGCGCCAGACTGCAAAGCCATTTGAACTGCAAGGTCAGAGGTTCAAACTCACCAGCTGCTCCTTGGAAACCCTATATAGAGTTGCTATGGGTCGGAATCGACTCGACAGCACTTAACAACAAAAGGGTCATACCAACTAATTCACTGCACTGCATATAGCCACGAGAATAATCTGAAAGCAAAATTAGTTTATGGTGGCCTCTCCCTGGAGCATGTTCCCATTTTCCACAGCATTTCCTGATCTTTTACCACCATGAGCAGAGACGTTTCTACCCCCCGCCTTTGCACCCCAGAACTTTTTGTGCCTGATTTACCTACATTACTCCAGTTACCAGACTCATTATTTTTGAGTGTACAATGTACACTCCATTTTGAATCTTCAAGCTGCCCACACTCTCAAAGGTACTCAAAATATTTGCTTTGGCGCCTAAGCCCTGCCTCCCCCAGACAGAAGCAATCTTCACGTGCCTGACTACAGATGTGGCAGCATATGCCCGGAAGATAGAGGAATCCTGGATGTTAAGTAGGTTCTCCCCAATTCTAGTGATGATTTGAAGGAGGGGGAAAATGCATTTCGAATGCAATCACTTTTCTCCTTTCTGTATTATTGACACTGAAAAAAATCACTAGAGTCTTTTCCCCAAAAGCGTTTCTAATGCAAAGGCCAAAAACTATCTTCTCGCTTCATTTCCATTCTCCCCGATCACACTATCTTTACTTGTAGATGTTTTTATTGTTAAGTGTCAGTGTCTTCCATTCAGAGACCCTGTATAGTGTTTCCCAGAAGCAGGGACTAATAGAAGAGCAGCTAGACAGT